GGTAGTTCTCTCTCTCTCGCGGCATCGACGGCTAAATAGAGACCTTCAGAGAATGGTGACGCATGACTGGCTCACTTCCTCAACATGTTGTGCAGCTTCCACTCAAAATGGAACATTTGAACAGTAGGCTGTTTTACTGCTTCTTAAAAAAACTTGTTTGCTTCCCCAGACGAATAATTACAAGATTCCAGCAAAGCAGGGCACCGTCAGTGAGCGTCGCAAATACTTATTTATCACAAGTGGAGTATCCGGCCATCAGGGAGACTATGTTGAAAAACAGGCTAGGCTGGAAGGAGAGAGGGTGTGGTTTGTCCCCCGTCGAAGGCATGTACCTGATGACTTGTTCAAACAGACACGCAGACCTTTGGCCTGCGAAACAATAGCTCGACATTGCTTCCAGTCATGCCACCCACACTATCCTGTTGCCCAGGTGCTTTTTTACGGAGCAGAGAGATAATACGTAGCAAAGTCGCATCGGCCCAGACTGACCAGTAACTGTGGTCCTTTGATGTTTGCGGCAAAGTCTTTGAACATCTGCCCTAAAACCGTCGATTGCTGCCAAGAGATTAAACAAGACCTTAAGATTCAAGCTGTTTTTTTTTTTGTTTTTTTTAAAGTTGGGGCCGAGACAATACTCTCAAGTCCAAGGGGAGTTGAAAATGCTCCCTGAGAACACGACGAATAAACAGGAAGATTCATTTTCAAATAGCTGCACTGTTGACGGCCAACCGCCGCATACCAGATCGGACGTCATGAGAGATGATTGCCGTCGCAACCGCAACAAAACGGCTTTAGACAGCACTTTCATAATTACAGGGGAGAAGCTCGAGCAAATGGACAAGCCAACTCTTTCCCAGTGTCCGCAACGCTTCTTCACGCTTTCGACTGTTCACAAAGTATACGTAAACAACTGACTTATGTCTCAGAGGCCAGAGTAACATCTGTGGAACTTTTGGGCATGCATTTAGGTCAACCAATCCTGTTAATTACAGTGCACCTTCAACAATTACACAAGAAACAGACTTCATAACGCGGGTAATAAAGCAAAATCCCGCCACCCCCCCCCCACACATAATCTCCCTTCCCATGGATAAAAGCAGTTACAATGAAAGAAAACGAGTAAAAGACACGACAAATAGACAAACGATGTTTACCTTTGTGCCAACTGATATGTCATGGACACTGCTGTGGAAAAGACAAAACAAAGGGGCTGTCAGCAGGAAATTGCCGCAAATGTAGAGTAATACCAAATTCTTGAACAGGGGACGCAAGAAAGAAACCTTCCTTACTCAATTTCAGGGACGTAGCCGGATCCCAGAGGGTACAAGTCAGCGTCAAGGCGGCTGTGAGGTTGCAGGAAAATAAGACAAAAGCAAACTTTTAGCTCTCGGGTACGCAGAGAACATCTCGTGAAAACAGACAAGAGGAGAAGAGTCAAGTGAGCACACTGCCGTTACACTGAACACGCAACAAGCAAGACACGAACACCATTCCAACTGTCGAATTCAGGTGATCGACGAGGAAAGGGGGGGGGGGTGGAATATAACATGAGAAGATGCGGCGGGCGACTTTGAAGCACCCCCCACGACGAACAAACGCCACGCCATAAAGTCGCCTTACTGTGGTTTGATATGGCTCCCCCCCGGCGGTTGAAAAAGTCCCTGGGATTGAATCAAGGCGAAATGTTGGGAGGCGAAGACATCGGTTGCTTCCAACATGGCCCTGACTCCCCGCACAAAACATGAATGCGGAAATGAGACACGTTGCTTTAGCTCGACCTGCCCCAACTTAACTCGCTCGGTTAAAAAAAAAAAAAAAAAAAAAAAAGACAGAAAGAAAGACCAGCGTAGCTTAAGCAACCACACTATGAACTACTGCCCTTCTGCTATATCCGCTAACACCATTGCGAAAAAGTCTAAACGGGACAAAAAATGAACCATTTTTTCCATAACTTGACGACGGCTAGCGGAGGTTAACGGCTAGGCTAGCAGCTAACTGTTGCATGTTTGGGTGAGCGTCCGCGGAGGAGGAGGAGGCGGAGGTGAGGAAGAAAAGAGGGGGGAAAAAGTACATTTAAGTAACAACTTTCGCCAGCGGAACACAAAAAAAGGCGACGACGAGGACGCCGCGAGGCGCCCGCGGGTGTGAGCGCGCGGAGGATTTACGCGTAGAAAACGGCGTCGGGGAAGCGGTTGCGTTTACAACTCACCCGTCCATTGCACAAGAAAAAAACTGCAGGTCTGAGGCGAAGGTAGGGCGGCAGACTTGCTTGATTTTCTTACAAAATGGCTGAACGCGCGCAGGCGAGCGCTGATTAGTCAGCTCGCCTACAACAGGCCGGAGAAGGCGGGGATTAAAGGCGACCAGCGCTGCCATTGGTCATAACGGCCATCAGTTATGTTGAAGGGGGCGGGAGTATGAAAAAAAAAACAAGGCCGCGGCAAATTTCCACTCATCGGCCAAAATATTAGGAACACCAGCTGGTTTTGATTGACGTCGTCAAATGAGACATTCATTTGCAATACTGTACCCAAAAAGCATAACGCATTCACTTCGAAAAAAAGTATATATTTTTTTTCTGATTAATGTATTTTGGGGTTTTGTTCTTTTTTGGGGAGGGCATTTTCTCTCTGGTTATAGGAAAACCCCCGGTTTAAAAAAAAAAAAAAAAAAAAAAAGACAGAAAGAAAGACCAGCGTAGCTTAAGCAACCACACTATGAACTACTGCCCTTCTGCTATATCCGCTAACACCATTGCGAAAAAGTCTAAACGGGACAAAAAATGAACCATTTTTTCCATAACTTGACGACGGCTAGCGGAGGTTAACGGCTAGGCTAGCAGCTAACTGTTGCATGTTTGGGTGAGCGTCCGCGGAGGAGGAGGAGGCGGAGGTGAGGAAGAAAAGAGGGGGGAAAAAGTACATTTAAGTAACAACTTTCGCCAGCGGAACACAAAAAAAGGCGACGACGAGGACGCCGCGAGGCGCCCGCGGGTGTGAGCGCGCGGAGGATTTACGCGTAGAAAACGGCGTCGGGGAAGCGGTTGCGTTTACAACTCACCCGTCCATTGCACAAGAAAAAAACTGCAGGTCTGAGGCGAAGGTAGGGCGGCAGACTTGCTTGATTTTCTTACAAAATGGCTGAACGCGCGCAGGCGAGCGCTGATTAGTCAGCTCGCCTACAACAGGCCGGAGAAGGCGGGGATTAAAGGCGACCAGCGCTGCCATTGGTCATAACGGCCATCAGTTATGTTGAAGGGGGCGGGAGTATGAAAAAAAAACAAGGCCGCGGCAAATTTCCACTCATCGGCCAAAATATTAGGAACACCAGCTGGTTTTGATTGACGTCGTCAAATGAGACATTCATTTGCAATACTGTACCCAAAAAGCATAACGCATTCACTTCGAAAAAAAGTATATATTTTTTTTCTGATTAATGTATTTTGGGGTTTTGTTCTTTTTTGGGGAGGGCATTTTCTCTCTGGTTATAGGAGGTATTTTTTTTCTGCACTGTGTATTTTTCCCGTCATAAAAAAGAATCAAAAGACCGAAAAAAATATTACAAAAAAAAAACGGAAAAAAAGTAATCTGAAGAATGGTAATAAATATTTCAAAACACACAAAATCAATGAAACACAAACAACATCAACAAATAGTCCAAAAAACAACCCCCCCCACCCAAAATAAAATACTGAGAATTTTTTTTCCTAGAGAATGTAACACGCTTCCATAGTTTCAATCGGTGCTTCCTGTTATCAAACCGAGATACCGTATGTCAATTCATCCATCCATCCATATTCTTATCTACTTCTCCTCACGAAGGTCACGGTCGTGCCAGGGCCTATCCCAGCTATCTTCGGGCAGTAGGGGGGTGGCGGGGGGGGACACCCTGAATTGGTTGCCGGCCAGTCGCAGGGAACAACCATCCGCGCTCACACTCACACCGAGGGACAATTTAGATTTTAGAGCAACTTTTAACTCTTGTGTTAATGGCATTTTGGGGTAGCCTCGGTGTCAGGATTAAAAGGGGGACCTTGCAATTTTTTCTTCAGAGTTAGGGTTAGGGTTCACTCCACCTAAAATCTTTGCAAACCTTATTATACTGTATCAAACAGGGATCGTTCCAATATTTTGCAACTCTCTGCTAAGTTTTTGGACTTCCCTACGTGGTGAAGGACCAGGAGCGTGTCATTTGGAGGCCCTCGCTCCACATCCATTTCGCGCAAGAGTTTGAAGATGAATGTTTATCTCTTGATGAAAACGGTTTGCGGTGTTGTCTTTCAACTATATTTTAATTCAACAACAACAAATAAAAACAAAAAAAAGAACCATGTCGGTTGCCCTTTACTGGACAGCAGCTGGTGCTGAAATTGACCCAGCTCCAAAGTTCATGATTATTTCAGTGCTGTGGACATGCGGGTGTGTTTTGCAAGTTCCACAGTGGCTCATAAACGCCCTTTAGTGGCACATTGAAAGAACTGCACTTTGCAGTCACATGACACTAAAGCAAGCGAGTCACTTCTTCGTTACTCATTCACCTGATTTGAGTGACACAAACAGTACTTTTACTCTTGTTTTGGAGGACAGGAATAGGTATCAGCGTTCAACCCAAGGTTGTTTTTTTTTTTCAAATGCACAATTAATTAATATCAACTAT